TTTGAACAAGAATTGGACCTATTACACAAGATCTGTAATTTTTTCATGGACAGCAATAGCTAACGTATCTCCTGAGAAGATTTGTAGAGCAACAACCTGATCTTCAGACAATAATATCTCAACAAAAACAAGGCATTATCGGATGGACTTTATAGCAGCTTGCCATGAAAAATTTGGGCAAAGGTTTTTAATGGCTTCCAATTTTTGGTCTGTTTTGTGTCGTTTTCTAATACAGTCTCTTTGCATGCATTTGGTGTCAGTTTGTTTCCTTCCCTCCCTCGATTATAGCTTGGGTATTATTACCCATCATTGTACAGCCATGGATATTATCAGGAAAAGAGAAAGTTGGTCCAGATTATTGTCATATTTTATTATTGCCATGGCAATACAAAGAACCCTCCCTTATATTGCTTTTAACTTAGACTAGGGGTAGGAGAGATGGGGTGTAGGAGTGATGATAAAATAGTTGCTCTCCCTTTCTTTTACTTAGGGTTCGTGCCTTACATATTGAAAGGGGAACAATATAACGAACAAAATAGACAACAGTATGCAATGCTGGTCTGTCATTGCAAAGGCTAGTAAAATGCTGTGAGGACTTGGAGAGGATCTGCAAAGAGGAGTGGGACAAAATCCCTCCTGAGATGTGTGTAAACCTTGTTATTCTGTCTCTCACTGTTAAAATACCTCTACCATTTTTTCCAGAACATTAGAAGTGTGTGCAGTCGATGGCGGGGGTGGAGCGACAACGTGACGGTGCATGCAGGTCACGCCACGCGGGTGATGCAGGCTGCGATATGGGCTGTGTGTGAGCGGTAATGATACAAAGCTGCTGGCGTTCATGCACCTTTTTCCATTCGAGCATACCGCAGACGGAACAGTAAAGCCGGTGAGCAGAGTGACCGTGTTAAGGGTCAGAAGGACCGTGTAGGTCACAATGCAAGTTTCCAGGAAGACACATGGAATTGGAAAGGTTGAGCTCTCCTCACCTAAGGCAGGTAAAAGGTATGGCTGGCTAACAGAGAGATCCGGAGACACTTTTCATTTTCGTGCTGTTGAAGTCTGGCTGACAGTCTGGGGTCCCTCGGTGAGATAGGTAACTGGGGCATGTTCTGACTGAGACTGTCAGTGATCAAGAGGAACCCAGAATGTAATTTATTTTGTCTATATATCACATGGCTGATATATCACATTTCTGAAACTGCTATGTTTTCAGCTGCAGGGTTAAAACTAGGGGGACCTGGCATCCAGACCACTTCATTGAGCTAAACTGGTTCTTGGTGCCTATAGTGGTCCTTTAAATCAAGATCAGCTAAATACGTGTTTTGAGATCCAGATAGATAAAATTAAATACGAAATGCATGCAAGTACAGATGACTCTAAAGGAGAACTGACAAAGATGCTGTCTAAAATCCAAATTCTTGAAGAAAAACTAGAGTATTCTATACAACTTAATAAACAACAGGTCTCCATTTCGCAGTTGGAACAAAAAGTTGAAAAAATTGAAATAAAAATGGCAGAACATGAAGATAACATAAGAATAGGGGGGATACCTGAAAGCATCCCTCTGTCAGATTTGGAGAAGTATATGGAAGAGTTAATACAATTTTTGGGTCTCCAATGGGACAATATTGTCAACTTTTTAGAAGGAATACACAGAATAAATAAACCGAAAGATCTCCCGACACAATCTCCAAGAGATGTTATCACATGTTGTCACAATTGTAACGGCCATGAGAAATAGCTCCATGGCTGGTTCAAAATTCAAGACATTGAAGATATCTAATGACTTGTCACTTGGCACAAGAAACCAACGGAGGTCTTTCTTGACACAAACAGCGGCATTAAGAAACAAGGGAATCAGATATGCCTGGACTTTCCCTGTACGCATAAAAGTTATATATAATGAAAAAGCAGTCATTTAAAGATCCCTTCAACAGTGGCTACAGAAGAACAACTTGGGTTGAAAAGAAAGGGAAGAAGAAAATAAGGAAAAATTAATCTTCTGTATTGAAATGTGGCTTTTGACCTAAAGAAAAAAGAATACAAAATAATAAAGGATAAAAAAAGCCAATAACACCCTCGAAAATCTTAAAAGAAAGTGGTATTACAGAGGAAATAAAGCTGACAAATTAATGTCTAATAGATTGAAAAATGAAAAAACAAGTAAAATGGTGTTTAAAATTATTCAGGGCAATGAGATATTACTTAGTCCAGAAAAAAATTAGTAAAGCTTTTCAAGAATTCTACACTAGCTTGTACAATTTGCTGGAGGGGGGATACTCTGTGAACGTCAAAAAATTATTTCTTAAATATAATCTTCCAAAAATTTCAAAAAAACAAATTATCCAATTTAAACACTCCTTTTTCAGAGAACAAAGTAGAAAATGCTATAAAAAAACTTCAATCAAATAAAGCACCCGGTCCAGATGGATTTGACTTTTTTTTTATTTAACTCTGAGAGATACGCTTAAGAATTCTCTAGCAAAGATATTTAATGACTTTATTCTATCTTGTCAAATCCTTAGTGAAATGCTTAAAGCACATCTTATTCCAATTCTCAAACAAAATAAAAACTCAGAAAGCCTTCGACAGGGTCAGGTGGGACTTCCTCAGGTGTGCCTTGGAATCGTTTGGGCTTCAGGGAAAAATATCTCGCTATAATGCTATAACGCTGTAATGCTCTCTATCCAACCACCTCTGCCCGGGTAGTTGGAAACGGTTTCATATTGAATTGGTTTATCTTAAAAAATGGGATGAGGCAAGGATGCCCCCTCTCACCCCTGCTTTATTTAATGATTATTGAACCTTCGGCAATTGTTATTAGATGAGATCAAAAGGTTAGGGGTTTTGTGACCCAGTAGATAGTATCAAGTACACGATGTATGCAGACAATGTGGTTTTAACTATATCAAACCCAGTTGTGTCTCTTGAGCAGTTTATGTTAGTTGTTGACGAGTTCTCAAATGTGTCTGGATATAAATTGAACTTAGAAAAATCAGCTGCTCTTGCAATAAACCTATCTAATGAAAATAAGAAAATCTTGTGGGATAGATTTGGGCTTGATTGTTCTACACGGGCCAATACATACTTGGGAGTACAAATTACCAATGACTCCTCTGAACTGATGGAGCGTAATTTTATGCCTCTATTGTAATCCACTAGTAAAACATTAAAAGAATGGAATAATAAAGAGTTCTGATGGGGAGGAAGAATCAATATTATAAAGTCGTACATCATTCCCAAGTGGCTCAATCTTTTCAGACTGGTTCCAATATACTAAACAAGGAAGTATAAGCGCTATTTGAGTATAAAATCTTAAAATTATATATAATCTAAACAGCTGCTAACCACCGTGAAAATCTTTTACAGAGTGATAGAGAATAGTAAGTGGTACCGGTGTAGCGCTTATGTGCAAAATTGAATATGAAGCGAAGTTTTACCCAATTTTCTTCTATGTTAGTCAATTATTTCTTGTTAACCTTAAGGTAAAACAGAGAAAAAATACACAACATAGTGCAGATTGTATATAAATATGTAAAAATTGTTTTAAAACAAAAGCCAAATGGCAACTCACAATTTTCTGAGCTATAAATCTAGCTCAGAATTTTGATGCTTTAGGATCCGTATAGGCGACCCTCTCCCTTCTTCTCCTTTCTTTAGTCCAGTCCTATATGGATACAGGAGGGGGTATATAGTGTAGTATAGTTGATGTTATTATGGGTGTGTAAAAGTAATAAATGAGGTACTCACAAACCCAGAGCCAGTCTATAGGCTCACTTCAGTGCGCATATGTGGTTTTAGGACCACACTCCTTCTTTATATTAGCAGGAAAAAAGCCATAAGTGTATCAAAATGTATGTATATTTATTATAAATTTTTTTTACACATTATAAAAAATATATATAAAAAAATAAATAAAAACACTTATAAGGCTTAATAGAGTCCAGTAAAGTCCAAAAAAAGGAGTTTTCAGTGCTCACTTTTCTTTCCAGTGAGGTAGATTACATTTTTTGAGTGGCACGTAATGAACTCTTTAATTTGGTATTCTACACCTTCATCCAAAGCGCTACACCGGTACTGGTTCCAATATACTGCCCAGAGAGTTGACTAAAACTGGCACAATCTGCTGTATGTTTTGGGTCATTGTCCAGCTGGAATCTAAAAGTTGGACCAGTATGAGTTCATGAGAGTTCTGGACCAGGTTTACATTAAGAATATATCTGTATTTTGTATTCAGCTTTCTTGCATGTCTGAATAGTATCCCAGTCCCTGCCGCTGAAAAACAGTCTCAAACCCTGATGCTATAATCACCATGCTTCATCATTGAGATGGTATTGTGTAGGTGATGAGCGGTGCCTGGTTTCCTCCACACATGATGCTTTAAATTGAGGCTTAAAAGTTCATTCTATGTTTCATCAGACTAGAGTATCATGTTTCTCTAAGCCTGAGTGTCCTTTTGCTGCTTTTTTGCCTTTTTAGTTGGGCTTTCCTGTGAAAAGAGACTTCTTTCTGGCCAGTCTACCATAATGTGTAAGTGATCATGAGCGCCTGGGCTACATTTATTGTTTTACCATTGGAGTGGGGTGAGCCAGCCCCAAGTCTAGATGCACCAGGACCAGATAAGACTTTCACATTCTGCTATTCTTGCTCAAAAATGCAGTTCCAGGTTTAGTAAATAAATCTCTCAGTATATTTACAAATGACACCAGACACAATGAAAAGGAATAAAACAATATAATAGTTTAAATTTACTATACGTTTATTTTTGGAAGAAATGTTTTGACAGTCATAGACAGCAGTACATCTGATTTCACCACTAGGTGGCTCTATTCACATAGCAATATACTTAAAGGTAGTAATGTTTGTAGATACGTTTACCTGTCTGTGTCTAATAATGTGTATTAATAATGTGTATTATTTAGCAAATACTTTTTTTCAGAGTTTACCACAATAGGGGTTATTTCACCTTTAGGGTTACTCACTAAACTCTGAATTGTTGACTAATCGACTTCCATATCTTCAACAGATGAGTCTTGTGTGCCGGGATGGTTGACGTCCATTGATTTAATTGGCAGGCTTTCAACATGTATTTCTGACAGTTTTTTAACCAGCTCCTCTAGTGTTATTCTGGCAGAACTGAAATCTATATCTGCGACCCGTTGTCTTTTGGGCTGGAAACCGTCCTCATCTTCAGCTTGACCTTCAATAACAATTACAACGATTTATAGTGCTGACATATTCTGCAGCTCAGTACAATAGGTCAAAAAAAAAAAGACAAACAATTGTAACAAAATGCATCTGACAAACGGAAACAGTAGGTGAAGAGGAAACAAATTTGCTTACCTTCCGAGCATCTTTTGCGTTTACGACTGCGAAGCACTGGGATTTCATTGGCCTTACTTTGTCCAGCTTCCCCTCTGCTCTTTTTAACTTCAGGACAATGACCATCCTTGGTGCTATCCCCTCTAATCTGTTGGGATCTCCCAAACTGAGACTGACAATTTTGGGGATAGTTGAAGTCTGTTGATTTAACTGGCAGACTTTGAGTAGGTAGGTCGTATTCTGCCAGTTTTTTATCCAGCTCCTCTAATGTCATTCTGGGAGGACTGTATTCCATATCTGCATTCCGTTTTCTTTTATAATCGAAAACGTCCCCATCTTTGGCTTCGGCTTGACCTTAAATAACAATTACAATGATTTATATAGTGCTGACATATTCTGCAGCGCAGTACAACAGGTAAAAAAAAACATCAACAATTCTAACAAAACACGTTTCACGAACGGAAACAGTAGGTGAGGAGGAAAAAATTAGCTTACCTTCCCAGAATCTTTTGCGTTTACGGCTGCGAAAGACTGGGCTTTTATTGGCCTTTGTTTGGCAAGGTTCCCCTCTGCCCATTTTAACCTTGTGCGAATGACTATCCTTGGTGCTATCCCGTTTAAACTGTTGAGATCTCTCAAACTGCATGCCATCCTTGGGCATCTGCCGGGCATGGTGAACATTTTGCATCTTACTCTTCTCTTGCTTTCTTCCCACCTCTCCTCCACACTGGGAGTGACAATTTTGGGGATAGTTGAAGTCCATTGATTTAACTGGCAGAGTTTGAGTAGGTAGGTCATATTCTGCCAGTTTTTTATCCAGCTCCTCTAGTGTCATTTTGGGAGCACTGTACCCCATATCTGCACCCTGTTTTCTTTTGTGATGGAAACCGTCCCCATCTTTGGCTTCGGCTTGACCTTAAATAACAATTACAATGATTTATATAGTGCTGACATATTCTGCAGCGCAGTACAATAGGTAAAACAAAGGACAAGCAATTTTAACAAAACACATTTGACAAACAGAAACAGTAGGTGAAGAGGAAAAAATGAGCTTACCTTCCCAGCATCTTTTGCTTTTACCAATGCGAAATATGGGGCTTTCATTGACCTTAGTTTGGCCAGGTTCCCCTCTGCCCCTTTTAACTTCATTCCAATGACCATTCCTGGTGCTATCCCGTCTAAACTGTTGGGATCTCTCAAACTGCGTGCCATCTTTGGGCATCTGCCCGGCATCGTAAACATTCTGCATCTTTCTCTTCTCTTGCCTTCTTCCCACCTCTCCTCCACATTGGGACTGACAATTTTGGGGATTACGCCTCTCTGATCCATCCATTATATCTTGCATACAACGTCTTTTTTCCATGTTCTGGTCAAATCGACGGTTTTTAGCTAGATGTTGATGGATCTGGCGCGAAGAATCCCGGAAGTTGAGCTCTTCCCGTGGTTGGTCTTTCACTCCATAACTAAAGCTCCTGTTTTTGGGGCGCTTCCTCTCGCGCTCCATCTCAAATTTCAACACCAGCTATAAAGCCCTTTCAATGTAGCTATGATATTATCTTTTTTGTCTTTTCCACAATTTGTGCGATCAAAAACGTTTGCAACCTGCTGCAAGGATATACAACAGTGATATGACCTATCTGCTGCCTTTCACCACTGATGGTTTATGTGTTATGACATCACAGATACTTTATGCAAATCAATTAAACAATAAAGTTCAACAACAAACAATTACCAGTAGGACTTTATCAATAATAAAGGACCTGAAGAAAGTTTTAAATACAGCATTTTTATTATGTCTATTAAGAAATATTTTTACAAGTTACAAATTAAACTATATATTTATATTCAACGAATGTATGTTTACATAATCAAAAAACAAATGTTTCACAATAAACAGATCTTTATATTTTGTTACTTTTGTTAATGGCCCATAAGTCTAATCTATCACACAATTGCGTTAATAAGTAGTAATTAAAAACAATTATAAATGGAATATCTATGAAAAAAATTATTTTTTCATATTTATATACAAACAGATAAGAATTTAATTTAAAAATCAATAAAAATTTATAAAAAATTGGTGTTTTATACCTTTTATCTTGACTTGAGTAGTAGAACCAAGTAAAATAAATCACATGACTACATCAGATTAACAACATGAACATTAACTTTCCACTTAAGAAAAATATTTAACGCTTATATTGCTTTTAAAAATCTTTTTCCCATATTTCCCAATAGTAAGTAAGATTGTCGCTCAATTGAGAAGGCTGTCTAATGGCCAATTCATAACTTTTATTCTCAAGAATGGAATTGAGATCTTTAACTGATGGAATGGCAGGTGACCTCCAGTGTCTGAAATAAATAAATTAAAATTCTTGGAACTAAAATCAAAAATCAGGGGAATCTCTTTTTTTCTTCTTTCTGTTAACTAATATTAAAACATCAGGGGAATCTCCTTTTTTAGCTAGAATCAAAAATTAAAATTGTGAATGAAATTTGTTTATTGCAAATTATACCATAACTACCATCATAAAGCTTATGCAGCAGCATACAGGCCATGACACTGCAAACCTCTGAATCTTGTGGGAGTCCCAGTTTTGGTATCAGGGTCAGTGCCTCTGGCAGGTCATGGACGATGTGTCTCTTTTCCCTTTTAAGACCGTGAGTGAGAGGGTCAAGTTCCAACGATATTGCATGCCTTGTTGCTGGAGAAGTGAGGTAAAAGGCTTAAGGGTTCTTCGTCATGCCAGGGTGCACCCGGACAGGTCAGCAAAGAAGGAGAGTGACATCGATTTGACTTTGTAAGATGTGTGGTTCTTGACCGCTGCTAGCAACACTGCTTTATCCGTCCACTGTTGGAAGCGAATTTTGAGGTCTCAAGGCGCCATGGCTGGGGGCTGTGGCAAGATTTGTGACTCGAAAAAGGCCATCTAGGCATATTCCCTTGACATGCCACGATGTCAATAGCGTCACCAGGAGCCGACGTAAAAATGTGCCAATTCGGCTGCTGGGGTGTCTTCTGATATGCCTCGTACGTTAAGATTGTTTGTGCAACGTGCATATTCCAGGGATGCAAATCGGTGGTCATGCACTTTGGTCTGACGTTGTAGCCCCTGGACCACTTGCTGCAAGGAGGCGATTAGCTTCGTACGCGTTCGAGGTGGCCTTCAGTGCTCCCATTCATCCTGCCAGGCCCTGGATTTCAGGGTTAGTGCTATTTCTTTTTAAGTTTGATCTAACTTAGGAATAGAACATTTTTCTGTCAATTTAGTAATAATTAATTTGTATTCTATCTGTAGATTATCAGGTAGGCCAAATTTTTCTTTCAATTTTCCAATAGACATCAAAGAATTGCTCTAAAAGAAAGCATCTACATCTTAAATTAAATATGAATGTCAATGTTCAAAATCAATTTGAGGAAAATTATATTTTAGAATAGATAGCGGCATTGCCCATGACCACCCGGAGGAAGGACCCACATCTTTCCACCCAGTGTCCCAAGCTCTGATAGTACTTTTTGTTGTAGAGAAAATTTATCAAACTTTTAGTTAAATTTCTTTAAAATGTTTTGCTTCTCTAAATATAAATCTTGGTTTATCCCCTAGAAAAGAATGGATAACTTGATCCTCTTTTAAGATACGACAATTTCTATGTATAAGCTTACGCAAATAAAAATTCATGGAACTAAAATAAAAAATCAGAGGAATCTCCTTTTTCTTCTTTCTGTTAACTAATATCTAAATCAGGAGAATCTCCTTTTTTAGCTAGAATCAAAAATCATAATTGAAAATGAAATTTGTTTCTTGCAAATTAATTTTATTTACAAATTATGCTATAACTACCAATATAGAGCTCACAACGCAGCAGCATAGGGAGCCATGACACTCAAGCCTCTGAATGCTGAATACAGAGACTGGCGCTGCAAGTCCACCAGTCAATATAACTACAGCACCTTATACACACACAATGCAACCCCTATTTATTCACTTTGGGTGTTACTGGGGGCCTCACGTTTGAGTTTCACCTAAGGCCTCAAAAAGGCTAGAGCCGCCACTGCCTCAGACGAACAACAACACATGACATATTACACCGTGTCATGATTTATTTAACAAAAATAAAGCCAAAACGGAGAAGCCATGTGTGAAAAACTAAGCACACCTAATGATTCCATACCTTGTAGAATCACCTTAAGCAGCAATATGACCCAATCTCAGCTCAGTTTTAACTGTTTTACAGAGGGCCTCATATTTCACTATCAAATACTTTGGTATGCAGAGGACTTCATGTTCAACTTAATGACTGGAAGGTTCCCAGGTGATGTGGCTGCAAAACAAGTCCAAATCATCCATTTGACGGTGCACGCAGGTCACGCCATGCGGGTGATGCAGGCTGCGATATGGGTTGTGTGTGAGCGGTAATGATACGAAGCTGCTGGCGTTCATGCTCCTTTTTCCCTTCGAGCATACCGCAGACGGAACAGTAAAGCCGGTGAGCAGAGTGACCGTGTTAAGGGTCAGAAAGACCGTGTAGGTCACAATGCAAGTTTCCAGGAAGACACATGGAATTGGAAAGGTAGCGCTCTCCTCACCTAAGGCAGGTAAAAGGTATGGCTGGCTAACAGAGAGATCCGGAGACACCTTTAATTTTCGTGCTGTTGAAGTCTGGCTGACAGTCTGGGGTCCCTCGGTGAGATAGGTAACTGAGGCATGTTCTGACTGAGACTGTGAGTGATCAAGAGGAACCCAGAATGTAATTTATTTTTTCTATATATCACATGGCTGAGATATCACATTTCTGAAACGGCTATGTTTTCAGCTGCAGGGTTAAAACTAGGGGGACCTGGCATCCAGACCACTTCATTGAGCTGAACTGGTTCTGGTGCCTATAGTGGTCCTTTAAATCAAGATCAGCTAAATATGTGTTTTGAGATCCAGATGGATTAAATTAAATACAAAATGCATGCAAGTACAGATGACTCTAAAGGAGAACTGACAAAGATGCTGTCTAAAATCCAAATTCTTGAAGAAAAACTAGAGTATTCTATACAACAACAAAATAAACAACAGGTATCCATTTCGCAGTTGGAACAAAAAGTTAAACATTTTTTAATAAAAATGGCAGAACATGAAGATAACATAAGAATAGGGGGGATACCTGAAAGCATCCCTCTGTCAGATTTGGAGAAGAATATGGAAGAGTTAATACAATTTTTGGGTCTCCAATGGGACAATATTGTCAACTTTTTAGAAGGAATACACAGAATAAATAAACCGAAAGATCTCCCGACACAATCTCCAAGAGATGTTATCACATGTTGTCACAATTGTAACGGCCATGAGAAATAGCTCCATGGCTGGTTCAAAATTCGAGACATTGAAGATATCTAATGACTTGTCACTTGGCACAAGAAACCAACGGAGGTCTTTCTTGACAAAAACAGCGGCATTAAGAAACAAGGGAATCAGATATGCCTGGACTTTCCCTGTACGCATAAAAGTTATATATAATGAAAAAGCAGAGTCATTTAAAGATCCCTTCAACAGTGGCTACAGAAGAACAACTTGGGTTGAAAAGAAAGGGAAGAAGAAAATAAGGAAAAAGGAATCTTCTGTATTGAAATGTGGCTTTTGACCTAAAGAAAAAAGAATACAAACTAATAAAGGATAAAAAAGCCAATAACATCCTCGAAAATCTTAAAAGAAAGTGGTATTACAGAGGAAATAAAGCTGACAAATTAATGTCTAATAGATTGAAAAATGAAAAAGCAAGTAAAATGGTGTTTAAAATTATTCAGGGCAATGAGATATTACTTAGTCCAGAAAAAAATTAGTAAAGCTTTTCAAGAATTCTACTCTAGCTTGTACAATTTGCCGGAGGGGGGATACTCTGTGAACGTCAAAAAATGATTTCTTAAATATAATCTTCCAAAAATTTCAACAAAAAAAAACAATTATCCAATTTAAACACACCTTTTTCAGAGAACAAAGTAGAAAATGCTATAAAAAAAACTTAAATCAAATAAAGCACCCGGTCCAGATGGATTTGACTTATTTTTTTATTTAACTCTGAGAGATACGCTTTAGAATTCTCTAGCAAAGATATTTAATGACTTTATTCTATCTTGTCAAATCCTTAGTGAAATGCTTAAAGCACATCTTATTCCAATTCTCAAACAAAATAAAAACTCAGAAAGCCTTCGACAGGGTCAGGTGGGACTTCCTCAGGTATGCCTTGGAATCGTTTGGGCTTCAGGGAAAAATATCTCGCTATAATGTTATAACGCTGTAATGCTCTCTATTCAACCACCTCTGCCCGGGTAGTTGGAAACGGTTTCATATTGAATTGATTTATCTTAAAAAATGGGATGAGGCAAGGATGCCCCCTCTCTCCCCTGCTTTATTTAATAATTTTTTGAACCTTTGGCAATTGTTATTAGATCAGATCAAAATGTTAGGGGTTTTGTGACCCAGTAGATAGTATCAAAAACACGATGTATGCAGACAA